GGGGAAGGGTGTAAACAGCTGAAGGGAAGGCACAGACGAAGACACAAACTGAGCTTGCATATTTGATTAAAGTGACAAAATATGGAAATTAAGTATTTCAGATTTCATATAAGATACTGATCAAGCAGTAGTTCCTCTTGAGGTTGTCTCAGAGAGAGTCAATCCCCTTAGACTGCCATGATAAAATGCCCAACTTTACAGTGGAAATAAACATGTTTACAGCCTGGTCTCTGTCGCTAATTTTCCTGCTCATGACATGTCGCTACCACAACGTCAACATTGGTTAGGTAACATAGTGTAATGATCACCTCTTGGGAGCCAACATGGTGACATCATGCTCCCGCTTCTGGGAGTTGGAGCTTTACTTTCATTTAGGGGAGATGACTGTCTGAGCTGTTGTCACGAGTTTTGTGTTAAACCTCTTTTTGGATGCTGACCTGTGCTACAACAACGTCAGCCCACAATAAAACTACAGCTGAGGTATTATTATTATTATTATTAGATTTTATTTGGTATGGACATCACAATTACATTGGACAAACCAGATGCACTGCTTAAGTGTAGGAGGTTTGTCTGGTGTTCATCCATTCTACTTTAACGACTCCCTGGAGATCAACCACATCTCTGCAGTAGCCACAGTGTAACCCCAGATTCACAGGGATAGGCGTAAATGTGTAGGCGCTCTTTTGATGTGTTTTTAGATGTAGCATTTTGGCCACCTAAAAAAAAGACTTTTTCAGCATTTGGTTGCACTAACACCCTCTAAAGAATCAGATATGTATGTATGGTACCCAAATCTACAACCCAGCTCCGGTCACTGCCCTCAACCCGACTGCTGACAGCAATTCATCAGATTTCTGGGCCCTGGAGGTAGGCAAAGCCATTGGGTTGGAGCATCCCACCATCCCAGTGCATCTCCAATATGAAGGGACAGCAACGGTACCACAGGTGAAGGCTCTGAAGAAGGAGCTGGCTGTTATCAGGGACCTTGAGGGCTCTTGCTATGTGCGTCAGGGGAGATACGGCTTGCTTTTTGGCCCATATGAAAAGATGGAGACGTTTTTCACTAGTGGAAATTAGCATTAGCATTAGCATTAGCATAGTCAACCACAGCTGTAAATACACCATGCTAACCAAGCTAGCAGCTAGCGTTAAGGTTATCTCCACCCTCTTGTCCAACTATAGTGACTTCTGGCTCCAAAAATTCAAGATGGTGACAGTCAAAATGCCTAACTTGACGCTTCAAAACTTGAGTCGACAAACCAATAGGTGATGTCACAATGGTTACGTCAATTTTTTAAACAGTCTATGATACTGATGTACAAATATATAAGTAATTTACTGACAAAAATGTACAGGATGTCAACTTTATTCACTTTTAGATCTCTTATAAACAAACCTTTATAAAACTTTTATAACATAAATCCAAATAGATTTATTTGGGATTTGATCAGACTATTAGCACCAGTCACATATAAAGTATTGAGCGAGTATTGAAAAATACAGTGTTTTTGATAATATTTAACAGCAGGAGCCCAAACAGAGGTATGCATTGTTTTCTGAAACAGGTCATCAGTTCAAAATCACATTCATAAGTAGTTTTAGCAAAATTAGTAAAAGTAATAAACTACTAAGATGATTGTGGTTTCCGGGGTTTATTATTCATAACTTATGGGCAAAAAAAGTCATCTGCATCTCACAGTTGTTTCCCTCTTCCTCCATGTAAAAACAAAACTATGCTAACATGTAAACAATTACGTCCTACAGTCCAGACAGATGACATTTTGTCTTAAATTTAGACAAGCACAAGAAGAAAATGTTCTTGTTTTCCCTCTGTGGCAGCATGGATATTTATAATAGGAGACCAGAGTCTGAATACCCCACCATACTTTCCTCCATAACTGTTCCTTTTTGCATCCAATCCATTCCCCCTCATGTGTAAAATGTCCATCTGGCCGGCACCCCAGAGCACCCTGCAGCACCCCAGAGTACCCTGCAGTGACCCCGCCCACCCATGCACTCAGCTCCAGATTGCAAGAGCGTTGCAGTCTCATCAACAGGAGCTATTGGCTTCGTACAATAAGAGGAGGAGGTGAGAAAAGATTAAAGAGTCATTAAAATGCATCTAATAGGTTTCTCTGGAGTCTTAGTTTAGGTGAAAGAAGGTGCACTTGTACTTGTGTCTGTATATTTTTACCTTTTGGTTGCCTAAGGCTGTTGGTCAACATCAAAGATGAGAAAAAGGTTTTTGAGGCAAAGCATGACCGCAAGTGTTCAAAACAACATTAATGCTCCCTGAGGATGTCCGTGAGAGGGAAGGAGAGGAAATAATCCCGGCCCTCGGGTCCACCCAGTGGTCACTGGTCATCAGGCACGGCCCAAAGCTCAGCCAGTCACAGAGTGGCAGCCCCCTTAGTCAGTCCATAAAAACTGTCAGAGGCTCTTTCACGTTCCAAACAAGTCAGAAAGAAGTTTTGCTTTGTGTTTTTCTCCGCACTGATACCTCTCAGCTGTTTATCCAGGAGTGCTCACAATGACTAAACAGTAGATTGAAATTAAAGATTATCAAAATTACAAGGAGGCGATATGGAGGAGTGGATGTGGTGTCTTTTCCTGACGCCACATGAAACAGAAAAGCCAGGAATGTGGTTTTCTTTGATATGAGTCACGTTGGAGGTTAAATTTATACACTGTAAGTGAGAAATTTCAGGTCAAATCTTAAATCACATGTATGCTTGTGAGGCTTAATCTTAGTTACCCACACTATGAAACATTAAATGAACCCAGCTCTCAGTAAGAACAATGAAAAAGCTCCACAAAAACCTCATTAGTGGAGGAAAACTGAAGAAATCTTGGCAGTGGCATCACAAAGAGATAATCCCTTCCAACATGCTCATAATTCACTATTTATCCATACTGCAATTAGTCACTCACCCCAGGCCAAAAACTTACACCAAAAAACTTGCAAGCAGTGCAGCCAAGTGTTACTGTTCCAGCTCCTTTAGGCGTCTCCTTAACTCCTGTCCCAAAAATGCATCAGGATAAAGAAATACTCAGTTATGGTTAGCCCTAATGACTAAATCACGACAGGAATAGACAAGTACATTTTGACTGTCGTCTGACTTAATGATATGTGTTGAAGTTTATACAAGATTTCCATACTGTACATGGGGTCACTCTGGAGTTGTGTGTGTCTTTATTTGGAGTACACGTCTGTCATGTTCCCTAATCATATAGGGCTGATGGCGGTCAAAACTGATTCTGATTTCATGTTCCATATACAGCACAGACATGTCATTTGGTCAATTATAAAAATTAGAGGTCCAGTGTGTAGGATTTAGGATAGACTGGCAGAAATGGAAAATTATATAATAGGTATGTTTCCTTTAGTGTGTAATCACCTGAAAAAAGGAACATTGTGTTTGTGTTAAATTTAATTGAGTCATTTATATCTACAAAGGGCAGGGGTGGCCCTAGGACATTTGGAGCTACAAGACTACATTGAACACATCATGAGAACGTTATAATTTACCTTCACCTTGGTAATTTTTACTGAATAGAGCTTGAATGCTTCACAATGTAAAACAATGCAACCTCTGTGAGCCATTCGAGGTAACGAAAACAAGCTCTGCGGAATTTAAGTTCTTTCTCTCCACACACACTCCTCTTAGTAGTATAGTGGTTGTTGAGTGGGCATTAGAGAGCTTTTGCCATTTTGACATAACAATACAGTGTGTTTCAGGGTTCATGTGATCTCAGCTAACTCGCCCAGCTCCCTCAGAGAGCAGGTAAAGTGTAATGTGCTCGGGAGGGGGGGTGGGGGGCGGCAGGAACCCAGAAAATAAAGGCCTCTCTATTGTTTAGTAGGCTTTGCTATGTACTTATATTGTTGTGGCCTTATGTCATATTTCAAAATAATAGTAGTATTAATGAAAAATAGTAAAAGATAAACTTTTCTTTTCTTCCCCCATTTACAAATGACGCTGCCCTTAGCATTCACCTATACTGCCTATGCCACGGGCAGCATTGACAATGGGAGCTAATCCTCATCTACAGAGATCACCATGTTGCACTGCCATGTTTCTACAGTAGCCCAGAACGGACAAACCAAGCACTGGCTCTAGATAGGGCCATTTGTGGCCTTGCGTCTGCCACTGTAGTTAACAGCCTCTCTACAATGCACAGTGTGAGAAAAACACTGATATTTTAATGTGAAACTGTTTTGATCAGTGTTTTCACTGGTTTAAATCACCACCTCCATTTGTTTTGGAGAGGAAAAGACCTCTGCGGATAATTTAACTTCCGCTAAAAACCTCCTGAACATCTGGATCTTAAGCTATCAGAGAAAAAAGGTGACCACAGATAGGCGGGTGCTAGGTAAGCGGCGCATGTCTGAGATGCCAAACAGCATTAGAAACGCACTAATTTGTAACATGAAACTGTTTTATTCACTGTTTTAACTGTTTTAAATCAACAGGTGCGTTTGTTTTGGAGAGGAAGAGATCTCTGTGGATAATTCAGCATCTGCTAAAAACATCCCAAATGTCTAGATCTTAAGTTAGCAGAGAAAAAAAGTGAGAACAGATTAGTGGGTGCTAGGTTAGTAGCACATGTCTGACATGCCAAACAGCGTTGGCGAAGCACTGATTTGTAACTTTAAACCACCTTCTTCTGTGGTGTTTTCCACTGGTTTAAATCACTGGGTCAGTTTGTTTTGGAGGGTGAGAGACCTCTGCGGACAATTTGGCTCATGGTAAAAACCTCCTGAATGTCTGGATCTGAAATAAGGTGAGCACACATTAAGCTATCATCAGGTGCTGGGCAAACTGGCTTTCTACGATGTGCCGAACAGCGTAGGAGAAATACTGATTTGTAATGTGAAAGTGCTTTATTCTGTGTTTAAATCACTGTGTCTGTTTGTTTTGGAGAGGAAGAGACCTCTGCAGATGATTCGGCTCTCTGTAAAAACCTGGTTGCATGCTACAGTCCTCACAGCTAGACGCCACTAAATCCCCCTAAATCTTACACACTGGACCTACAACAGAAATGACCCAAAACTGTGCACTTCCTTGATGTGTTTGTTTTTCATTTCTAAAACCTGTAATTGTGTGTTTTTTTTAAAAATGTATATTAATGCACGAGCGGAATAAAAAAAGTCTCTCACGTGCAGCCTCTCTCAGTCGTTGACTTTCTATTTCCAGCTCTATGCAGACAAATATACACAGTCAGTGGAAACCAGGATGGCGGGGATGCATATATACAGCCATGGAAGATGGTCAGATTCCCTCTGGTCATCAGGTTGACCACACATGGTTTCCATGTTAAACACTACTGTCTGATCAGTGAATATATGTCCCTGAGTGTCCTCCACTTTATAGCTATTACTGTCTACAATGTCTGTAGGAAATGGCTCAGACGTGCCGCCCAGAAAAAGTGCACTGCTTGCTCTTTTGCATTTTGAAACCAGTTATTTACACAATGTATTTTTCTTTTTTATAATTAGGCAAAGTATCTGGTCTAAGTTGCATGAATTGAATCCTTGTACAGAGTTTGTCTAGATGACACAGTGTAATCTGGAAAAATGATTGGGTAGGACGCAGACACTTATCCGGCTAGAGATGAGTGTGATCTTAAGAGTGCAGAGATGCACATATTTGCATAAGCAAACAATAGATTGCTACATCGGCGTCTTCATGATGATGAAAAGCCAGTGCAGCTGGTGTGCGCCAGCTCGCCGTGGAGGTTACAGGCAAACTGTGGCTCTGTGAGGTCTCCCTGACAAACCTTACACTTCTGTCCCTTGTCCAGTCTGAACATTGTTTTTGAGGCCTGCATCTGCAGAGGACAGAGGGAAAGGGCAACAGAGTTCAGAAAACAGAAAACAAGAATACACGCAATGTTCATGGAGCGGAAAAAATGTGAAATATGCCTTTGACCTCACCCACATGACCTTGTGCCGCATGAGCTCCACCTGGCCCAAAGCCTTTTGCAGCCTCACCATCCGCCTCTGGTGGAAGGTCTCTCTGAGGGATCCAATTAAGAACTGAGAGACCAGTTGAATAGACCACGATTCGGGCAGCAGCTGGATGATCCTCTCTGCTGCAAAAACTCCAGGGTTGTTGTTGAGCAGATCCACAGCAGCGCTGGTGAGATCCTCCGAGCTCAGGTAGATCTGAAGCAGGGTGAACAGCAGGGTCTGCCTGAACTGGGAGTCCCGGCCCTGGGCAGCCCTGCAGCAGTAGGCCTCTGCAGCCTGGAGGTCTCCCTTCTCGTGAACAAGCACCTGCAGTGCCTGAGAGTGCTGACCGCTCCTCCCCAGGAGAATCGCTTTCTCTGCATGCAGGGTTGCTGACTTGACACTCTCTGTGGTGAGAAACATAATTTAGTAACCACTCAGTAATGGTTTATGCTCTCATAAGGCATCCACACACCATACACAGCGGAGATGTCGTAGAACTTGGATTCCCATAGCAGCTGCTGCAACTTCCCTCTGGTCTCCCTCAAATCTGCTTCCTCTTCCTCTTGCAGCATCTGAGTAACATATGCCAGGGCCAGACGGTTGTGATGTCTCTCCTCCTGGGGGCAGATTACACCAATCATGTCTTGGTGCATTTAATAAAGGAGCCAGGGATATTAGATTAGGTCGCTGCTGCTGCTGCTGCTGTACCCACCTCACTCTTCAAATCATGGATTAAGAACTCAAGATACAAAAGCAGCGCCAGTGGGTACTTCTCCAGGAGAGCGAGGACGTCTTGTGTCTCAAATTGATCATGTGGGTGACGCTTGTTGAAAATCTGCACCCCTATCTGTTTCAAATAAAGGACAACTGTTATTGGACATTTCATTAGCGGTAATTGTTTTCTAAGCACGGCAGTTTAGTTAATGGGTGGCATTTTGCCGTGTCTCTATATCTGTAACACACTGTTGTATTGTGCAACTCTGCCCTCTGCAGTTCAGAGCATGAAAAAGGGAAAATGCACCTCTTGATTGCTTTGAAGAGTCCAATCTGCAAATTTCCACACAGCATCTCTGTCTTGCAGCTGACTGAGAGTCCGCACTATGTGTCCATATACATCTGAGCAAGAGGGGTCTTTGTGGAGGCCATCTGCGATTTTCACCCAAGTCTGGAAGAACATAAAAGGCTAAAACACACTACTTTTATGTATTAAGTTTATATAAAATGTGTTCTTTGGGGAAGGTTGTACCTTAATGGCATCAATTTGACTTCCATGGCTTTGATAGAGGGAACCTAATGCAAAAAATCTGTGATGAAACAGCAAGTGATCTGTCAGAAATTGAGCAAATTAGACAAAATGTATTTTCTTTCAAGAATATTTTAACATATCTATGATTAGAAATCACCTGTCCAACAGATGATAGTTTCATTTTCACCTGTTGTGTTGCTCCAAAACAGGAACACAGTGCTTCAGCCTGCACTCATTGGGGAATGCTACAAGCTGCTGCAGATTTTCAGCATCTCCCAGTTCTACGTACAGCCTCAGGAGGGCGCAGTCCACCTCCTGAACACACTTCAGGCCTTGCTCCGTCCCTCTGACTGCTCTGAGAAAATCTCCCAGAAAGACCAGGTAATGATGAAATGTGTTCCTGTCCTCGTGGCGGAGCACCCGGAGATCCCTGCCCTTGTTCACTTGATCAAGCTGGGATTGAAAGTCCTCGCTGAGACACCACTGCATGTCTGGGTAGAGGCGGATGATTTCTCTGGGGTCCAGCTCACCTGTGCTGTTTAGGTGGGTAATGAGTATTGATTTGTGTTAGACTCCAGCAGAGGACACTCTGTTCGCAAGGTTCACATATTACTGCACAGTTTGCTGTGATTTACTTTGCGTGCTTTGAATTTGGAGTGTCGTGAAAGGGGTTTTACTCTCACATGAAGAGATCTCTGGCCACGGAAAAACCCTCCTGGTAAAAATGAACAAATCCAGCCAGGCAAGTGATGGCCTTCTGCAGCTCCTGCCAGTAGAAAAAAAAACTCTCTCTTAAAACCAGGCACACATTGCACGATCATATTCATATCACCGACATATGAGCTGAAATCATTAAAGCAAAAAACTGTGCAACTTCTCCTTCACTTTAAGACGCTTTAAAAACACAACAGCACAGAACCAGACAAATTATAACTGACTCATCAGTGTGTTAGCTGCGACATCCTCACCTCTAACCTGTAACCTGAGATATGGCACAGATTACACTAAATCTCAGTCACCATCTGTTGTCCTCAGTTGCATTCATCCAACTGGAATACAACTACAATAGCAGCACACAACAGTGTAGTCAGCCTACGCCTCGGCATCCTGGTTCAATCTGTTCTACACTGATGAAATATTAAAGTCAGACACTATGATGCAACGCCAGCTGGGGTTGTAATGCATGCATATTATGTATGCATCAGTGGTGTGTATGAATCTATGTAATAGTGATATTATAGCAGCACTGACTGCCGGCAGGGCAAGACAGGAAAAAGTAAAGGTGAGTAAAAAGGGTTTGACATGCTAGAAATGTTTGTCGGTTGGTCAATCCACCACTTTTGACCAGACTGATCTCAACAACCAGTGGATAGACTGCCCAAGCGACAACCTCCTGGGCTGAAAAATAAACGTGTCAGTGCCAGAAACTGCAGTTCCTCCAGCGGCCACTTGAGGCTGGCTCCAAAAACAAGTCAATCCCCACAGACCCCCATGTTAAAACGCCCAATTTCACAGCAGAAATAAACATGTTTGCAGCCGGTTTTGGTCTCCTAAGCTAATTTCCCGCTTCATGACAACGGTACTAAGGTGAATTTTTATATAACTCACCCGTTTGAGTTTTATTAAGGCTTAAAGTTATGCCTAATTAAGGATGGGGCTGCCTTGAGTGACAAGCTGTCTGTGGATAGTGTCCTTGGGCTCATAGTTATGTATCGCTTCTACCCAGCTTCATCATCTCATAAAAATACCTACAGTAAGTGACTTTGGTCACATCTGGGACCAAAAACCAAGATGGTGACAACCAAAATGTCAGACTAGAGGCTTCAGAATGGGAGTTCACAAACCACTGGGTGACATCCTTGTGGCTACATCCATTATTTTTGCACTCTATGGGACTGCCATGAAATTTTGGACGTTCATGTTTTCCCAACCACTGCAAGTGACTTTGGTGATCCTGGGACCTTTTTTACTTTAGCCCCAAAACGAAGTCAACATTTGTGGGTTTTGAGTTTCGATATTTCAACAACTATTGGATGGATCACCATGACTTTTGAACCAGACACTCATATCCCTTTGGATTAATTTTTATCACTTTGTTGAGCCCAGAGTTTTCATCCAACAGCATTTCCATCAGCCTCAGCAATACGTTGTGTTTAGTGGTAATTGCTTGCTAATATTTGCTACATTACGCTATATCAAGATGGTGAACATGGTAAACATTCTAAAAATTTTAGGCATGTTAGAATTGTCATTGTGCGCATGTTAGCATGCTGACATTAGCAATTACTGCAAAGTACGCTAAGCAAATAATGACACATATGGTAAAAAAAAACCCAACTAAATCTGATCCAGGTCTCTCTTGTCAAAAAAACGGTCATATGTTGACTTTGCAAGCAGCTTATTACAACCCATGCCTAAGTTTATTGTAGCGCGACGCCCTCTAGTGCTCATAGTAATTACTACAGGAGCAGAGGAGGAATAGAGGCAAGGTAGTAGTGATGGGATTTCTCATTCACTTGTGAGAGCCAGTTCTTTGGCTCTCGTTCACTTCAAAGAGCCGGTTCAAAGATGTGGTTCATTCAATCGTTGGGTTCAACGACGAATCGCATTGCTGATTTATCGCATCATGTGATCACGCTGCACTAGTGATGTGACATTCATGAATGAGCCGAGTCTTTGAACCGGCTCTTTGAAGTGAACGAGTGAGCGGCTGCACTGTCTTTCTCCCTCACAAACTAGTCTCTCTCAACTTGTTCCGGATCAAATAATCTGAAATGAATGGATAGAGAGAAAATTAAAGCAAAAAACAAAGAAATTAGGAACCGGCTCATTCACTCTAAAGAGCCGGTTCACTTGTTCACTTCAAAGAGCCGGTTCAAAGACTCGGCTCGTTCGAGAACGTCACATCACTACAAGGTAGTATAAAAAAAGAATAGAGAAAATGGAGAGTGGATGGTTCAAACAAGCATGGGACTTTCAGCCACGAGACCAGTGTTTGTGGCCAGTTGACTTCTTTTAATAACAGCATAGCACAATATGCTAGTTTGTGATGCACACTACCATAGTGACGTATGCGATGTGACATATGGAACGTTTTGTTAGCATCAAAAGTACTTACTAACAGCATGATGTTTTTTCTAAATCTAATCACCAAGGTTTTTTTTTTGCCTTAACCTAAGCACAAAGTTTTACAGTGTAACAATGACTGTTTCATAACATTACGGACGTGTTTAAAACTGCGACCGTGAGGAGGAGAATATGTAGTTCTGGGGACAATCATTTATGTTGTTTTGAAAGTCAGTGGAAACCGACTTATTTTGTTCCTTAGCTATGAGAGAGCATTGTCTGGTTGTAGCTAAATTTGTAGTTACTGCCTTTGTAGGGGAGAATTGTTGGGTGATTGTTTTACAGGAAAGAAGAAGGGAGAAATACTTAAAATTTGTCTGTGTCACTTAATTATTTTATGACCCTTGAGAAGAAGAACGTATTTGTTAGAAATCTAGATTTCGAAGCAGGTACATGTTGTGCTTATGTGTGTATAAATCAAATTTCACCTTGAATGAGTCAAGTGGACGATGGCTTTGAACTCCATCCAGCAGTGACAATGCCTCCTCAACCCTCTCATCCTGTACAAGTGCCTGGATCTGGTCTTCGACTGGCACCAGACGCAGGCTGAAAATGTCTCTCTCTGTGAACGCTAACACACCATCTGAGGGGAGATTTGTTTTTGGTTTTTCAGAAACACACAGTGAGGAGGAACAGTAGCTGCAAGGATGATTGACTGAATCAGTGCAAACTGAGACAGACACGGCGACGTCTTTAAAAGACAAAACCGCAGTGTGACAGCCTTTTTCGGTCTGCAATCTGCCAAGATTAGGTGATGAATTGATGTTGCCTGGTTTACCTGATGTGGAGAGGAGACCCTTCGCTCCGCTGAGACTCACAGTCTGTTTGCGCTGCTGATCTACCATGCTGTAGACAGACAGCACTTGGGGCTGCAGGGTTAGGATGTAAGGGAAACATACTCCGACTGCAAGCACCTCTTGAGGCCACTGCAGGGGAGGGCGCTGGCATATCCCTGTCTTCATCACAAACATGCCTGAGGGATGAGGATGGAGTAATGATATCTTGGCAAAATAAATACCCTCTGGCTACAAAGATATATGGGGGAGTGATATGAGATGATTAACTGTATAGCTTCTTAGGAAAGGAAGCACATGAGGAGGTCTGTGCTCGACAGCATGACAAACAACATCTACCATAAACATTTTGGTAGCTCTTACCCAGAGATCCAGGCCCGTTCAGGAGGAATTCTCCCTGTCCCACTGAGGTAACAATGACGCGCTGCCTGCTGTGATCGTGAGGAAAGAGCTCCTCGCTGCTCCCAGTCTCAGTATCACAGAGCAGATACCTGTCGCTGGTTGCCACACACACGCTGGCACCATCTACCGCCAAGGCCACAGGGTCTTGGAGCAGGGGGACTTCTTTTACAACCTCCCACCTGTCCACTCCCACCACGTGGATCCGGATCACCTTCCTGCGGCTGGACGAAGTCATCATCTCCACACATGCTGCCTGGGCTGAGAGCGATGAGTTGCACACCTCCAATAAAGACACGTGCTGGATCTTTTTCAGAGCGTGAACGGGCTCTAAGGAGAACATGTTGAGGGCAGTAACGCTCCGGTCCCACAGGACCAGCAGATGGTTGAAAAGTGGGACTACTCTCAGTTGGGTTACTTGGTTGCTTGAGCCTAGTTTTCTCGCCTTGCCCTCTCTTATTTTGCTCTGGCCTGGACTCAGGTCTGCATTTGTGCTACTAGGAAGAATTAGATGCTGGACTGTTGCATCTTTGGTCCCTATATACACATTTCGGTCATAGCACTCAAGGCACTGGATGCTAGATTTGTCCTTTTCTTTAGGGGCTGATTGCTTTTCATAGATATGTGTTTGTGTAAAAGCTCTAAAAGCCATTGCAGAAATTTAAGAAAGTTTGATTTTTGCAAAGTAAAATACAGGTAGGTACAGATCTGCTATGAAATATGCCAAATAAGACGTCCCTACCTCTCTGCTGCTCTCCCTTCCACTCTCATTCCTCTAGAAGTTTATGAAGTGTAAAGTAGCTTCACCTCCCCATGTGACTGTGTCCTGACAGGAAGTCTGTGTCAGCAGTTTTGCCCCGCTCATCCTGCCATGTGAGGACACTTGCACAACTCATCCAACGGCCTCACCAAGAAAACCAACTTTTACCAGTGTCAAAACAATAGGTATGGTGAAGAGGACAGATATTTTGGGGTGCCCACAGTTACAGTGCCTTGTATTCTTGGCTTTTGCGTGGACCAAAGTGGAGCTTTGGTGAGTGGATAATGGACAAGTAGAGGAGCAAGTGATCTGCTGATCAAACCATATATAGTCGCTCTTGGTTTGTTTACAATGTGAATGAACCGGGTGCAATGAGGTCAAGAGGCGCACAAGAGGTTTGTTTTATAGCAATGATTGTCTAAATAGTGACTGAGACGGGAAAAAATGGTCATAAAAAAGATGTGGATTTCAAACCTACTATCACGGCTAAATTTGTCAAGGCTGAACTTTGTGTCTGTCGTAAACGGACGTGTGCAGACTCCTCCTCAGGATGGCATTGTTGGAGCAGAATAAGACATTAAGATGAGCAACAGCAGGCCTCTTCTTTACTGGAACAACCTTTGGTGTGTGAAGTATTTCACATGAGAGAAGCATAAATCATGCATCATTAATTGTTCCCGCAGTGTGAATACATTTATATAGGCAATTATAATAATGTATACTAAGCATACAACAGAAATACAGTATGTGTAATGAAAGTCAGGCCAGTGGTAGAGGGAAATATGTTTGGAGGCTGCAACTATGGATTGTTTTCTTCAAAAAATAAAATAATTTTCTTGATTAATCAATTAATATTTTTGTCCATAGTGTCAGAAAATAGGAAAAAAGACCCCAAAGTCCAAAGTGACATTTTCAACATACATTTTTTTATCTGATAAACAGTCCAAAATCCAAACAAATTCAGTTTACTGTCATTTAAGACAAAAAAAGGATTAAATCCTAACTCACAAGAAGCTGAAACAAACAAATGTTTGACATTTTTGCTTGAAAAAAGATTAAAACAGTGAAAGGCCTGTGTCCACATTGCATTTTTTTCTGAGTGCCACTTTCCACAGCACTCTCTCAGTATTTTAATTTAATTTAATTTAATTACTAAAATTTATTTTATTTTATTTATTTAACAGGGACAGCTGTGCACAGCTAGCTGCACCAGAGTTAGCTATAAGCTAATTGTGATCTGTAGTCCCTGGGCAGGAAACAGAGAATAAATTCTCTGCTAAAGCTCTTTTTCGGAGTGCTACAGCTTTTTTGTACGGCCACTCCAAGTGCTTCTAGTTGAAAATCTCTGAAGGCCCGAGCCACATGCTATATCTTTTACTGCCTGGTAAATGCAAGGTCGGGTGCTGGAGGGTATACTCTTGTGTCTTCTCTATGCCAACTTTTAAGGGCATGGCAGGAAATTGCGCCTGACCTTGATAAGTAGCCATAACTAGCACCTTATCATAGCCTATTTATTAGAAATCCACAGAGCGCAGCTGATCTTCTTCCAGGTGTTGTTTTTTCAGTGTTTATCAGGCCTAAAATATTGTCAGTGGGAAAGATGTAAAGCTCTGGGTAGCCCTGCATTAAAATGATCATCTTCTCCTGTATATTCATAATTAACAGAAGAAAGGAGAGATATGTGTCAGCTGTAATTAGCTGTTCCTAGTCACATGACATGCAGTGCATGTTGCTGTGTTCCAAAAGTTGAACTTTGTTTATGCCTTATATGCCTTGAAAAATAGGTGCACAAGAACGCTTGCATGCAGTGACAGCATTGCTCTCGCTTTGGAATGCACCTTCTGCGCATCACAAATGCTCCGATATCGTCACTGCTGCTCCTTTAGCTACTGTCAATCCCAAGCTGTATGATCTACCCCATCTCACTCTGAAGTTGTCAAAGTCCGATGCTTGGTCAGTGACTTGCAGCGTCAGACACTGATGAAAAAGCCATCCTTTAACGTCAGCATGATACGTGGCCGGTCAATGTTAGTTTAACAGCGCTCAGTGGCTTCAGGGGGAAACGCAGTGGGGCAAGAACAAAAGCTAAGGCGGCAAAAGTCCGAGTAGGGTAGGCTGGAGGGGTGGCCGATAGGTCCACCAAACACCAACCTTCACCCGTGAGAGCGGTGCCAAACCCTGTTCTTTTTTCCTAAACCTAACCACGTGCATTAGTTGTAGGAGGAAAAAAAAGAGTAAATTTGTGTTGTTGTACTGATGTAGTGCGTTTATTTTGAAAGAGACTGTATGTAAACAGTAAATTTCCTGTGAAATCGGAAGTGTATTTTGAAAGAACACAATGCATGTAACAGGCTGAAGTTGACACAGTGTCCCAGAACATTAACATCCAACACACCCAGGGTACCTTTCACATCATATCTGGACATGGAAAGTCCATGACCAAACGTCAATACGTAACGAGGTCGGAGTGAGAATGTGTTGATGTGATGTGAGTGTTGCTGGTGAGTATTATGCTTTAATCACTGTGAGTGTTGTAAGCTTGTAGTTGACTGTGTTGTCAGCCCTCTGTTAATGCAGCGTTATGTTTGCTACCTAGCTATAATTAAGGGTAAGATATTGTTGTCATAGAAACAAAACTGATACGCAGTGCTGGGATCAAGTGCTCCCTAACACCCTAACACCCTGCCACAGCTTTTCTGCCAAAGAAAAACACTATGTGGACACAGGCCCTAATCACTTTTCTAAAACATAATACATTTTCTGTCACTCGATTAATCCAGAATGACCAGTCGCAGTCAGCTCTAGTAAAAGCATGTGGGAAAAAAACATGCATTTTTCATTTCAATAAAGAATATGTTCATCAACAGTGCATCAATGGCGCCCTGATTATAAAGATACATGTTTATCTTTATGGAAACATCACAGTTTTTGTGTGTGTGGGCAGCGTGAGAGAACTGATAGTCATATGTAACACCAAAATAAGCATCTGACATTCAGAGTTTGTTTATGTACCAGGCATGCGAAGAAGAAATATTCATAGAGATATCTGTATCAGGACAGGAGCTCTGATTGTTATTGGGATAATGGAAAGGTCACTTTTCCCTGCCGCAGTCGGTGCACAAGATGTTGTCGCGCTGGGTGAGGAAGCCGCGTCCCACCAGTGACACAGAGCACTGCATGCAGGTGAAACACTCGCTGTGCCACTGACGCTCCTCAAAAGAGATGTACTTGGCCCCTGCCAGACCTGCACACATCAAAAGAGCCATGTATTTATATAATGTACTTTACATAGGTTAATGCAACATCTTCACCTCGACAGTCTGACAGGTCCTACACATATGCAAATGATGGCCTTAAATATGAACCACATGTCAGAGTGAATGAAAACATGAGTAACTCACTGGTGATGGCTTTGGTGCAGCCCACACACTTCTTTGCATACAGGTTGCTGAAGCATTCGAGGCAGTAGGGGTAGTTTTCCCTGGAGGTGAAGCGCTGACCCGACAGCTGCTTCCTGCAGCTGATGCATAGGAAACACTCACGGTGCCAGGGCTTGTCTTGGTAGGTCACTCCACCTGTTGTGATGGCCTGGAGGTAACACAAATCCACAGCGAAGGAAAGAGACACACACAGACACTCCTCTTACTATGCATCCTTTTATTATGCAGTCACTGTGTGAGTAATATTAAAACCCCAGCGTCAGGGGGATTTAATGCAGCAGTCAATACATATAAAACACTCAGCTGTAACTCTACCTTCTTACAAGCGCAGCACTGGTAGGCAAACTGCTTCTCGAAGCAGGGCACACAGAAGTAGCCGCTGTCTTTTGGGATGAAGGACTTAGTTCCTATTGGCTGCTGGCAGCGGTGGCACAGGAAGCAGGTCTCATGCCAGCTGTTCCCCTTGTATTCCATTTTGCGGGATCCTGGCACAGGGGACAAGAGCAGCTTAGTCAGCATATGGTACCTCTGTGACGGAAACACACTGAGGCCCAAAATAGGCCTGCTTCATCTGCGGGGAGAGGAGCGTGCAATCTTAATTATCTTGGAAATAATTTGGGGAGAGGAAGACACTGCATCGCTGTCTAAATTTAAATGTTTATATTTTAATATGAATTCATTTTATGTGAGTTTTCTGCACATATGCATGTCACATTTTTCTGTAGTGAGATTGCTTTGTCAGCTACTGTTCTCAAGGTCAAGAATAAAAGTACAATCTCAACTTTAAGCATGGTTTTCTTTGCTGTAAAACTCATTACTGTTATCATCGTCCATCATTATCACCATCATCACCTTTAGGACTGGATAATAAAGCCAATCTACTGCATTACTGATACAGATCTCTTATCCATTTTCACTTGTAGTGCATCTCTTTTAAATAAATTGTCCAAATTAAGAGTAGCAACAATAAACAATAGGCCAGGAGCCAGGTCCAGCCCTCATGATGTCTCACGGGACTTAAAACCCCTTTTTTGGGACATGTTTCTGGTGAAATGATGTAAATGCAAATATTAGGGCACTACGATGGAATGAATTAGCGATACAAAACCATTTAACCAGAGGTTTAACCAACCAATCAGCTCACAGTCCAAAAGTCCTCAATCATTAACTGGTCACACTGTAATTAAAGGAATAGTCTGACATTTTGGGAAATATACCTATTTGCATTCTTGTCCCATAAAACCACAACGTGTTGCCTTTACACTTTGGTTTCTGTACGATTAAAAAATCAAGAAAATACGCTTAACAAATATTTAATCGCAACACTTTCGTTTTTGGTCCCATCTTTCACATGTTTAGGTTAGAGATCCAAGACTGTATGTACACAAAAAACTAATTTCTCTCACTTTTTGGTTGCAAATTTATTAAAACTTTGTTAGTGAGCACCTCTCCTTTTCCAAGATAATCCCTCCAATTGACAGGTGTGGCACATCAAGATGCTGATTAAACACTGTGTAGGTTTCCAATCAGTGAAGCCATAGCTTGACACTTTAATCATCCCCTTCATCTTAATTCACATGCAAAAAAATTCACCAGACCACTTGATGAAGTTTAACAGTTTGCTTCAAAACTCAAAGATGGTACAAAGACAATCATCCATTTTCAAATTCAAAATTATCCAGAAAAAAATAGGTAAATAAAAAGGTAAAAGATATAAGAGAGGCGGTCAAAAACTGTAGGCTATGACTCCTCTCTCCATTGAACTCCACTGATACAATAATCATAGTACCCTTATCTGAAAGGTTACAAATGTGAAGCTTCATTTAGGCTCCTACAGAGCTTAAAGTTTTAAGGGAGTTTTATGGGGTCATGCCAGTGGCATGTTGACTGCAGGCCCGTTGAATGTGCTGCCAATTTTATGGAAATGATATTGAAGAGGGCTTATGGTCGTGAAATGAACATTCAGTTCATGGGCAGCAGCTCTGGTGGATACTCCTGCAGTCATCATGCCAATGGCACGCTCCCTTAAAGCTTGTGACATCTGTGGCATTGTGTTGTGGGATCAAACTGCACATTTTAGAGAGTCCTTTTATAGTGACCATCCCAAGGCACACCTGTGTAGTCATGATGCAGCTTAATCAGCATCTTGATGTGTCAAGGTGTGGTACATCAAGATGCTGGAGGAGAAGCGCTGGAGGAGAAGTGCTTTCTTACACAAATTTTAACAAATTTGCAACCAAAGTTTGGAAAAAATAAGTATTTTCTATGCATAAAAAGCAAATAAGTGTAGGGTTCGATGTTAGCACCAATTTTCAGCAGCTTCACAACAACCACATTTCCTAGTTACACTTCCTTGTTATGGGTCACATGTCTCTTAATTAACCAATGAGAAGCTAGAAGGACTAAGACTGAGGTGGATGTGTGTGAAAGTTACTAAGGCAGGTCCAGCAAATTATATAAAACTGTTTTTGACAATGCTGCTGCGAATATTGTAACATGTAAATATGTAAATAATTGTGAACATAAATATATAAATAATGAACTGTTAAAAAACTGCAAATGCATTTTTAGTAAATTATTAAAACACATGACTATTTGTAAACCCTATATAAGTATATTTCCCAAAATGTTTTCTATAACTAGGATGAGCACTAGAAATGAATCAATACATGTAAGATCATGACATTTATGGACTTCTGGTCAACAGGTCTTTCTCACAGCAGACATTCTGACTTGTCATAGCAGGAAAAACACAGGTGTTAGAAAGGACACTAACGATGGCTCGACTCAAATGCTCCAGTAAGAGTGAGAGTGAGCCAGGACCCCAAAATCAGAGTAGCTCAATGGAATTCAGCCATCATTAATTATATTACTTACACCTGTGCTTCTCCTAATGTGACAAGTCAAAATGTCCTCCATGAAAAAAGGCCTATCAAAAGGTCCAGAACAGCCACTTAACGGACCTTTTGAGGGAAAAAAAACACAATCAGTATATCAGGATAAAGATTTAAGATGATGTCGTTTAGCTCAGTGGTTCCCAACTGGTGGGTCGTGGTCCAAAAGTGGGTCGCAGGTCCATTCTGAATGGACCGCAAGTGAGAATATGTCATACATAATTTGTTTCTGGCACAAAACTTTTATTTTGAGGTGCCATTTCCTGCTGTAGAGTAAGTAAGCAATAGACAGCTACTTTACAGAGACGGCAAACTAGCTCAACAACATGGCCAAATGCAAGTATGACGCTAAATTTATTAAACTGTGTGAACCTTGAGGATCTTAATGACTAAGGAGAAATCTGGACCCCATGGCTGGACCAGTTGGGAACCAGTGGTCTAGCCCTTTTCATCACCACCCTCATCCCAACATACGACATACCTGGCATGATGGTTTTCTTGCAGGTGGCGCACTTGGAGGAATAATCGTGGGCGTAGCATTCAGTGCACAGCAACAAATCATCCTTTGCAGCAAAGGCCTTTTCCACCAGAGAGCGGCTGCATTTTGCACAGTTGAAACACTGATCGTGCCAGTGACGATCTTTGTAGGACAAGTCCTGTGCATGTTTGACACATAATTAATGCACTTGTGGATATTCTGTAAGGCGTGATATTTATTAGGAGTGTGCATGAGCGGGTGTTTTTTAACGTCAAAATGTGATGAAAATACATCAAAATGTTTCTCACCTTTAAGTTATAATACAAATAAACATAACATTTATTCTTATTTTTAGACATTACTGACGTCAAAGCCAATACGCTGAGGGTGAGACTGGTGCCTCCTTACCTTGCTGTTACAGCCAATTGCTAAAGAGCAGCCCTCACAGCAGTTAGCAAACAGGTTCTCATAGCACTTAGTGCAGTACTGCGTGTCCTCTTTCATTATGTACTTCTTCCCCAGCAGGGATTCTTTGCAGTAATGGCAGTCGAAACGCTCGCTGGTGGACATTGTTGTTCAGTTTTCTTAGCTGCAGGTCAAAGAGAGCAGGAGGAGGAAAAATTGGACAATAGAGAAGAATAGGAAAGATGGAAAATGGCCTGTAATAGTCCGTGCAATCTCTTCCCCTCTCATCAAGCAAAGAGGCCAAGCAATGTTTTCGCCCTGCTTTGAAAAGAATATGAAAAAAGCAGTGTTGTATTAAAGAAGTCTACCTCGGTGGATATGGGGCGAGGGTGAGGCTGCAGAGTGTGCGGTTCAGGCACAGGGATGGGGCAGGGATGAAAAGGGGTGAGGCAGGATTAGGGGGATCCACTGGGGGGGATCTTCTATAAATACTGGGCCTCTTATTAGCGATAATCTCCTGGGGCAATGCTCTCCTGCATCATTCTGCACCTTTTAAGGGAGCTGATGGTGCACAGATCGCACAGCCTTTGAACTGATTTAATCATTGTTGCTTTGTTGCAGGGATGCGTAAAAGCAAAGAAAAAAGCAGTTTTCAGATTGTCAAACAGATTATTGTTGCAAAGCACGACAGCCTACAATGGAGCTAATGTCAGGGCCCAAATGTTTGATCAGTTTCACATAAATACACATCAGTAAAAGATGAGATTTGAGCCTAAAGATGCAAAATATTTTTCTTTTCAGCATGGATATTTGTGCCACAGCAGAGATACTTGGCCATTTGGATGCTGTGACGTGTCTGGGCACGCTTGTGGCCTTCATCAGTGCCTGCTACACACACAAGCAGTTGCAGATGGCTTATGAGAGGTGGGCGCCAGCAGCTTTGTGGTTGCCAGGTACTGAACTATATTTTGCCAGGACCTCTCAGTAGCTATTGAGAGAGCCTTGGCAGCACTTCAGAAGGGGGAAGCTGCGGGCCTATGGATGTCCAATCCATCCACGGCAAAATGGAGGAGGTGGAGCAGAAATGACAGTTTGATGGTGACCATTTGCTGATAACGATACTCTTGTCACATCATTAACAACACATAGTTAGTATGGTTGCACAGGAACAAAATATAACAGGCGATACACTGTAAAAATCATTGCATTAACAACGGACACAGTCAATACAGCACTGATGGAAAACTGGGTCAACTTTCAATAGTACAAATCGATTGTTTTAACCCAGCGCTGCTCTCTATACTACTGCTTGGTTATATTCCAACACTGAAATATGGTTTGAAAAAGAAATATCAAAGAAAGTTTTACCTTAAAAAACCCTCACAAACATATTGTTAGTGGTACAAAACAATTTACATTTAACATCCCAAACTGCAGATAGATATACTGGACATAGTATGAACACCGTAAACACTATGAATACCATATTTGATCTGGGTAAATAATGATGTGAAAGATAACACAAGGTCAAAACCATGGACTGTTTAAACCTAATGGACATAGCCACCATCATGTTGCCCGATTTAAAGCCATTGTTTTGGCATTTTGGACGTCGCCATCTTGGATTTTTAGAGCCGGAAGCGACCGGCGGTGACAATATTTGAATATGTTAGCTCTAGAGACCAAAAGTGTTTTTTGTACCAGGCTGAAACATGTTTATTTCTGCTGTAAAGTTGGGCATTTTAACATGGGAGTCTATAGGGATTGCCTTGCTTTTGGAGCCAGCCTCAAGTGGCCATTCAAGGAACTGCAGTTTCTGCACTCACTTCATTTTTCAGCCCTGGAGGTTCCTGCTTGGTATAAGCACAACGCAGTTGCCAGAAGAAAATGTTTGCATAAGTAATAAGTATGTTACATTTGCATGTTTCGTATGTATCACATCAGCACCTCTTAATCACTTAATGTAGCTGACTTTTGTCATCCGCGGACATTTGTACATGGGGCCCATGTGGGTAGTAAATGACCTGAAAAATGAGCCCTGTATGGGATTGTCCAAGGGTTCCATAATGGCCCCATGCCAGTTGCCCACATGGGTGGTTTTACCCAAGTGGGCCTAAGATAAGATGCCCATCTTGGGCCCATGCCCACTTGGTACCCTGGTAGCCGTAGCATAGCCCACGTGGGTAAACCACCCATGTGGGCAATTGGCATGGGGCCATTGTGGAACCCATGGACAATCCCATATAGGGCCCATTTTTCAGCTCATCTACCAACCACATGGGGCCCACATACAAATGTTGATTGGAGTGGATAGCGGATCACCTAAGCAAGATGCCTATCAAGCTGCAGACCTCTGTTCGAATCCAACAGCACCGGTTGTTTCTTTGGTGACCCTTTGCAGCATTTTCACCAATGTTTGTAGCATCAAACTTGGGTGTGTATAGCGACACATCACTGCATTTTCCAGCGGTGTTTGAACCACTGAACCTGGTTGTTTTTCTCAAACTGATCCCAGCATTTCCTAGTGGCGTTTGAGCCATGCAACCATGTTTTTTACCAACCGGTCCCTGATTCTCCTGCAGCTTTTGCGCCACCAAACATGGGTGTTTTTTAGCAAAATCCTGATCTTCACATATACATAACTAAGAAATGTTTGTGCCTAAACCTAAACACCCCTTCACCACAGAGTGGCTGAGAAAGGTAAGGTTTCAATGTATCCGTTTCAAAATGATGAACAAATGTAACATATTTGTGGTTTGCAAAAATGTACAGTATGAACATTTTTTTCTGGTGATAGACTTATCAAAACAACCACTTATCTCAGGTGGTAAAGTTATCACGTTGGGACCATATTGACCCAGACTGGATCAATATTGACCCAGTGAGTCGAGTGTTGTGCCCAGATCACTACAGTACAGTGTGTAACTGAAATGCCTCTGATTTGTCTGCATGCATGTTTGACTCAGTCACTCATACCAGGTGTCAAAAATTATTCCTGAAACATTATAAAACCTCCTTTTCCACCTTTAAAAAAAAAAACAGTTCTTCAGTGTCTTTGACTGACAGTCGGCTAATTACATTTGAATCTTGGAACATGTGCTCATATCAGTTTTCCAAAAGGATCAGGGGGTGGACATCTTCATAAAAATAGCCCTGAGAAGACCACCGGTCCAGCCCACAGGCTTAATCCCTCGTATACACACACAGGAAGGTCAGTGACAGGGATGAGGCTGGGAGGAATGCAACTCTGTCAAAATGAACTCTGTCTTGTCTCTACCACTCCTTGTAAAGAAATTCGGCTACAATTACCCTCTTGTGAATAAGTAAGATGTAATCCATTTTGGGATCAGCAGATGATGCTGGAACATGGGCCTGTGTGTATGTAGGTGGTATCTACAAACCACTGAGGAATAATGTAAGACGGTGTTATTTTTGACCTACAAGCTGCGTGTTATGTAAGGCTTTCAGCACAAAATAACCATATCATGTCAGGAATTCAGGTGTAGGAGATATTTCTGATGTGAAGTCATGCCATCCTTCAGGTTTTACTTATTTGTAAGTAGGTGGATCCGCCGGATTACACAAAGTCTTCTGCTGCTCTGGATCAAATTACCACTGTATTGTGCCCTCGCTCCCTGCTGGGGTCCAGATCAGCGGCTGCACATCACAAAGCCATGCAGTCCTTAAATAAACCCAGAACCAACTGTAGGGCAAATATAGTCAAAAAGCTTCTAATCTTTGTTGCAGTGGTGGCTGCAGTATGTCTGTCATCATGTGACACCAAGCCAGAGGTGGAGGTGACCTATATTCACCAGCAAACAAAAACTCTCATCTCTGCGAGTGTATTAATAGAATATGAAAGTCATGAGAAATAAATTGCATGTGACCAGATCGAGCGTTAGATATTAAAGCGGAGATTATTGTATATTGTGTTTCGTCTGTGTTAATCTGCGTTCGTGCATGGCTCTTTGTAATTTTATTATAACCGCTCTGATTTGAATCTGATGGATAACAGGTGCCGGTCTTTGTCTCTCGGATTATTAACTTCTACACCAGACAGTGCCGACTCCGCAGAGCAAAAAGCTTGCTGATCTTGCATATTCCTTTTTGCCTGCTTAATCCTCTGAAGTCAACTTGTGAGCAGCTGCCAACAGATTTCGTATGCAGCCTGTCGAGCCTCAATAAATAGGCCTTTATTTGACCTGGACTCCGGTGTCCTCTTATCTTAATGTATTCACTCTTTACAATAAGGTGTCAGTGGCAGTTTTCTCTCCCCTCTTAATCAAATGATCTCGGGGAAGAAGAGAAGCATTTATTTTGGTGGCTCCTTTGAGGTGGCGACTTGTTGTAGACTGAGACAGATCAACACGACACAGTCACATTTCTCTGGAGCACAAAAGCCTCGCCGCACCAGGGTTGACAGCTGGTTGGCATGGTGATGACAGCATAAGTGGGCTCCATTAGGGTCGAGATGAGGGGCGGCTCTAATAGCTAATGAGAGGACTCACACAAACCTGGCCCTTTGAGCAGGCCTCTGCACTCTTCTGCTCGCTTTCACCGCAGTGTTTTCAACTGAACAGGATAGCCACATTGGGGGGCCAGGAGATGCAATCTACTAATTCTACAATCTTGCAAAACCTTACACCCCTTCAGGGAGGCCCCGTGAGCGCCCGGGTAATGCCTGCACTATCTCTGCCCCTTGCTGCCTCCCCAGTTCTCACCAAAATGAGTCATGGTATGAGTGGGTGACAGGACCTGTCACATTGCCAGACATATGATCTCCACTGCTAAAGAGGAGAGAAAGTCCTCCACTCCTAGGAATGCACAACCCATTAAAATGTTCTCCTCTTCGATCCGTCGCCTCTTCCCAGCCCACAGATTTTGTGGTGTTTGGATTAAGTGTGTAGATAAAGCGGCTGATCACCTTTGGGCGCCAGCAGCAGCAAGCCAGAGCACACAACATACCTCAATGTGTCACCTATATAAGAAATTTACACCTAGAATTTTGATAAATTATTCACAGCCTGCAAAACAGAGATAGCAAACATCAAAAAAATGAATTTCCAACATACCTGCCTCAGTTAAAAAAGAAAATCTAAATCTTTAGTCAACAGACAGCGTCAGAGCCCAAGAAGACTTCTTAATTCTCCAGCTTTCAAGGACACTTTCCCAGTAAAAACTCCATCCTCAGAGCCTCGTGCTGAAACACTTCCTATTATTGCAGCACAAATAAACAAGCCTGCTGTAAATGTTCCAGATGATGAGATGGATCCAAAAAAGCCCAGCTCTCATTAGTATGGCAGGAATCTAACCTGGGCCTCATTATCTGATCTGCTACAGTTCAAACATAGAATTTAAATGACAGAGAAGGTGAATGGTGAAGTGTTTGTTGGCATTATTATTATTCAATCATTTATTTTTGGATCTGAAACCTACAGTAACTAATATTTTGGTCA